CGGCGCCACAAATGTCTCAAGTTGGCAAATGCCAATCGGGCCTTTTGTATTCGCGCCGACACTTCATCTGTGATGCGTCTGCCAGGTGAAATATAGCTGCCTAGATAACAAAATTTGTCTACTTCCTCTACTACTTCTCCAGTTAGGGTGAGACTGGGCGCTGGATCAACCCCATCTTACAGTAGCATTTTACACTTTNGCACAATGTCGTCTGCATACTCTAGATCAGACAGTCTGCCACCCGGAAGTAAATCGATACCGCTATCCCTGCACGAGGATACGGCTGTTTCAAGAATTAAATCTATGACAAAGTTAAATAGAAAAGGAGAGAGAGAGCAACCCTGTCGAACACCACTTTCCGTGGTGAACTCGGGTGAAAACGTGCCGTAAGCAGTGACTATACTGAGTTTCAAAAATACGGATACGCGTCACCTACATCTTGCATATTACATGTTCTACCAACTGAGGAACGAGGCAATATAGAAATCACTGATTGTTTTACATTTGAATAACTTATTCGGCTTTAAAAGCGCTCATGCATGCGCTCTAATCCCCCTGAGGCTAGTGAGTGTTTCACAATTCAAGTATAAGTCATCAACGTGACAAACAACATACTTTAAATAAATGTCTTGGAGCAATAGTAAGAGTTATTTGAAGTATTCACAGTTGTAAATCTTCTAACTGAATCCATAAGATACTCTAACGAGTGACTGTTTTCTTCTGGCGATGAGAAAATTGCTTTTTATGTCTTCTACAAGAATATTGTAGAGATTCTGAGACGCAAAATAACTTTGTATCTATTACACCTGCATGAACATCAGCAAGAAACTTTCGATAAAACTTCAGTTCTTGACGCCAATCATTGATGAAACAATGAATCATGAACAACTTTTGCTTCCTATGCAAATTGGTTGTACCAGCATATCACGAAAGAATACTGGTAATTTACTAAAGTTTGAGGGTCTTCATCATATGTACCGGAAGGAAGAAGAGCACAATTATCATATCGTCAATGCTATTCACAAATTTAAGAGCGCCTGTTAGACGTAGTCTCACTATCGTTTGCAACGAACTTGTGACAGACTCTTTGGTACAATCAACAACGATCACGAGTAATCAATTCCTAATACAAGATATTGCCTCTATTTAGCTGCACGCGCAAATACACACGTCCTGATAACTGAGTGATATAACGAACCAGACAAATAGCCACTCAAAATAAGATAATACTGATGACGGCATGAATATCTTGTTTCTGAAAGATGATATTCGCTGAAAAAAACTCCCAAATGCAGATAATTTGAAAATGCACGTGTTAATTTAAATTTTCACATTTCAAGAAAACATAGCCAATTTTCCCAGTAAGTTATCTGTAACACAATTTTCGAATGTATTTTAACCGAGCAGGATATAGGAATTCAGTTTTCTTATCGATGATGTTTGCTACCTATTCCGCACTTCACTCCTGGTTAATACCTTCCATTATGTACTGTGTTTGCCCAGACACATACTTTATTTATTATCTTGATTGTAACAGTGGTTTTTCTGTTATTTATTTTTTTGTTTCGCCTTCTATTGTCACCTGTACTATTTGACACAACACTCAAAGGTGGTGATTTAGTAAGCCTGCCGTGCTCACCAGTGAGCCAGTGCACGTTGGTGTAGCACAAACCTGTCGACGGATAGCTAGTTTCTAAGGGAACATGTTCACTGACAGTTTTGTAGACAGGAGAAAAACAATCACGCCTATCGCGACGAGACTGCACATTGATATAGTGTGATGCTTCTTGCACCTCCATGACCAAAAGAGCTACACAGGATGGCTTTTGTCAAGCCAGGAGATCTAATCATGCCTGGAAATTCAATGGGTAGAGGTCAGACAACATCCTGGTTCTCGAGGTTCAGGGTTCAAATAAAATTGGCGCTTCACTCCGTAAAATATGGTGGACGGGTAATGGATTCAAGTAAATGGGCCTCCACTCCGCTTAACCCGCTNTGCATTGGGGTTAGGTTCTTATCAGAACTAAAGGCTTTCGACGAGAACCCTAATCGTTCTCCTGCTTAGCGGTTGGACTCCCTGGCTGTACCCGTCCACAAAGCTCAAATGAACACAAACTAAAATTAATTTATTACTGCATCGTTCGTCGAGCAGGATACTCAGGACCGCGCCATCCATTGCATCGAGTGGGTGGGTTGTGATAAGTGAGCTACAGCGTAGATATCCCAAACTTTGTTTAATTCTTCGTCTTCCGTACCCGACCCTCTCCTTCTACCCCATCTTCCGACCTGTAGTAGTCCTGCAGGCAACTTGGATTTGGCTCGCATAAGGTCGTTGCCAAATAACACTTTCAGTATTGTATCAAGAAATGGATTGCAGATTCTGAAGCCCTGTCAATCACTTAATCTGAGTGCCTTCAATGTGAGGACTCCGATGCAGGTAGGCCGACAAACTTGTCTGACGCTTACAATGTAATCCTTGTTAATCGATATTTGCTGCCTGTCTGAGACTAGAACTCAGGATTCTACAACAATGAGCCACTTGAGCACACCAGATTTGCCTTTAAGATACGTTTTATGAATATCAGACAACAAAGAAACCCGTGCAATAGACCAGTGCGGCGTAGGTTTTGTACTCAGTAACAAGGCTGAGTCCTCTCTTATCATTTGGATCCCGTCAATAGCCGTTTATGTGCAGTTTGTCTCCAGGATTCAATCAGCCGGAAGGGAAGCAACACCAAAAGTTGCTTATTCATGGTATCAACATATGAAACGACCAATTGTAGTTCTGATACACAAAAGGTCACTTTCTACGACGGACTCCGATTCTATTCGAATGAGTCAGAGCCCTGACACAGTTGTAAATTCAGGTGACTTTAATATGAAGGTTGGTAAACTGCCTAGGTGGCAGTTGTGCTCTTCCATTTCAACGAGCAGATAACGGCGATCGACTTCTTCAGATCTGCGCAGATCGTCGTCTGTTCTTATCCAGCACCAACTTCCGACACAGCTGTCAACGGACGGCAACTTAGCGCTCTAGATCAACTGGTACGCTAATTCAAATCGACCACCTAGCAATAAGATACTTTTGGCGTGGTTCGATGCAACATTGCCAGCTCTATTGGATCACCTGCATTGAGTCTGGCCATGCATTAATTCTGATGCAGTTCACTCTCCCACTGACTGGTCGGCAATAAAACCAACAAAAGCATATAGCTCATCATCGATTATCCGTTCCAGCAGTTTGTGCGCTCTATGAGTCAGAGCTAGTGCGTGAGGTAAGCGCACCTCAATATGATTATGTAGATGAGCAGCGGGATCAGATTAGGCGATCTATGCATTCCACAGCGAATGTTGCTTGTGGGTCTGTGGCTAAAGCTCGATTAAAACATTG